CTTCTATCTGCAGCATCAGCATCAGCCTCGATCCCACAGAGGCCTCCACTGGGCAGATCAAGACCTGTGGCCCACATGCACCAGACTCTAGGAGCACCCCATCCTCGTGTATTTAAATGGCTGTGGTCCTCTGAACTTGTATATAGCCCAGCAAGTCCCCAGACAAAGCCAGACTTCTATTCTTGTAAATAAAGCCCCTAGACCACCACTGTGTGCTGCCTCCAACTCTGTGTGCCCCATGCATCCAGGGACTCTGGGAAGGGTGGGACCGGGATGTTATGTGTGACTGTATAGAAGCTCAGCCTTGTGGGTCAGAGAGACTTGGTTCTGGATGCTGCTTCACACAGCGGCCTGTGGTGTTCCTAAGGCTTAGATTGCTCTGTGTTCTCTCTCTCTCTCTCTCACTCATGCTGGGGATAGAACCTAGGTCTCCTATATGCTTGGCAAGTGCTTCAGCCTTTCTACAGCATAGTGTGATCTGGAATCATCTGCCCGCCTTGGCTCTGTAGTGAAGTTATGGTGACAGTGAGTGCCAATAATAATGGCCGCTGCTACATTACACACTGGCAACAGGCCCAGGAACTATTTAAAAGACTCTAGAATTAATTACTCCTAGGTACTTCAGTTTCTGTTCTATTTATTTTTTCACGGTACTGGGGACAATGCTCAAGGCCTCCCACAGGCCGGGGAGTGAACAGCTCTGTCCCTGAGCTATACCCCTGGCTCTTTGGGTACCTTTATTATCCTGCTTTTACATTGGAGAAAACTGAGGCACAGGAGATCAACATTCCAGGACCACTGGCATTCAGAGTCCATGTCCTCTTACTGTACAGACTCAGCAGGGTCCACCCCAGAAAGATTTGCCATACAACCTGTTGTTAGTTGCTAGATCCAACAACTAGGAAGATTCTTAGGAGGGACTGATCTAGCCTAGCTTCCCCAGATCTGCAGTTCCCAACGTACACAGTAGGGGGAAGGAGGAGGGGGGCATCCCCCTGCTGAGGACCCCACCTTCTTGGTCACTGAAGGTCATTCATTGTATTATTTTGTCCCCCTTCCTTTCCTTTTGTCTAGAGTTGGGTTCTTTATATATGACTTGAATCTCTTGGTCAGTTGAGTGTGCCAGCTGTACCTTGGGAAGGGCCGGCTCCGGCCACCATGGGAAAAGCGAAGGATAGCACATTGGCCTGAGGCCTGCTGTGTCATGGGTCCTAGGGTAGTGCTGGGAGCAGTTGAGGGTGACACCTTAGCTTATCCCACTGGAACTCAGAAGCCGTCTAGGAGACCAAGCCCAAATTAGTTCACAAAAATAATTACAACGGGAAAAATATGGAGAACAAAAAGGAAAGGGACAGCTCTGGGCGTGAGCAACACGATAGCTCCCTGGAGATATGGCCCTCCAGGGGGTGCATGGGTGGGGCCATCACCTGCTTGCGCAGGGCCCCTCTCCCAGCAACACAGAACCACACAGGAGAAAGGCAGGTCCTGTTCCTCTAACTGCCCTGGGCTAATTCTTCGAGGGCCAACTGAGAAGGCTCTGCAGAGAGGTGGGTTCTGGTGGGGGTGGGGAGTAGTGGGAATGGGGGCATAGCAAATGCAGGGCTCGAGCGAGCGGGTTCCAGCTTTCCTCACTGGGTGGGGGCTGGGGCCTTTTGGCCGGGACGGACACTTCAACATCAAGGTAAAACCTGGAGGCATGCTGCAGAGGCTAGGTGAGCCACAGGTCTGGCGGGGCTTCCGTCTTTCCCGGTTCCTAAGGGGTTGTTCAACTCTGGCTTAGCACTGGAGAGGGACCCAGACCAATGCCTGCCTCGCTGACCCCACACTGACCTCGGGAGCTCCTCTGACTCGGCCTGAGGGCAGGACTGGAGACCTCAGAGAAGAGGACTTTTAGCTTGGGGAGAGAGCCACTGGAAGGATCCAAAGATGGCCTCTCCCTTTATTCCTTTAGAAACAGGGAAAAGACTAGGCAGGAGAAGAAAGGCCGCCAGAAAGGGCGGGAGGCCTGGCGGGATGGCCAGGTCTCAAGAGGAGGTGCCCAGGGCTGGTGCTGGGAGGGAAGGAGTTAAGGCGGAGAGGGGCAGCCTATGGCTGGAGGACACACCTGTGCGCAGGGCAGTAGGCGGGCGGGGCCCAGGTGAGGCGCCAGTGCTGCCCGGCAGGTGGAGAAGGAAGAGGAAGAGAGGAGGCCCGGCTGGCTCTAGGCGGTTGAATCCGGGGCCTCGATACCTGTTCCTTTCTTCTGCACCACTCTGAGGGTCAGGGAGGTCTGGTGCCAGGTAAAGGCCACCGATCGGGGTCCTGGGGCTGCGCTGGGACCTGTAGAGCGCAGTGAACTGGTGTGTGCTGGGGGCAGGGACGGGCTGTGGAGGGGTAGGGGACTGGCTCTCAGGCAGACAGCAGAGGGGCGAGGAAGGGTTGCTACAGCTGATTTTGACCTCAGTGGGGGGCAACTCAGGGTACGCTAGGTGGTGATCGGCAAGGCTCACCCGGAAGTGTCCCAAAAGACGCGAGGGTGGGGGATGGGAGCCAGAGATCTGCAGCTTCTCCCAGGGTGCTTGGGTGTCGCCGGACTGCTCTTGGAGGTGGACTGGTTGGGTAGGGGCCCTCGTCTTACCCAGCAGTGTTTGGGTGCTGGTTGGGAGTCTCTAATACTGCCGGGTAATGATGGAGGCCCCTGTCCTTGTGTCAGCGTCGTCCATTGCTTCAGGCCCCTGGCCCCAATCCGGTAGCGAACTCCTTCCTCCCCCGCACACGCTTGAAAGCCCCTTCTCCTGCGTTAAGGGTTCTGCAGAAGTGGCTCTCGGGTTGGCCGCTCGCCCACTGGAGGGACACAATGGCCCCAGCCCCTCCTCCAACCCAGTGTGATTTGTCATCTGGTAGATCCAGAACCTACCTGAAGCCGACCTTGGCCTTGGGATTGTCTACCACTCGGGGCCGCTGTCAGCCATCCAGCAGCTCTTGGCCCTAGCACTTGCTAAGCTGTAGTCTGGTTTTATGTGGCCGGCTTTGGGTCCATCTTCCAGTGCAGTGTTGGATGGTTGACGTATGAAGCTCCTAACACTGTCTGGTAAAGATGGCCCCCGGGTCCGTTTCCATCAGCAGTGACCTTCTTGGAGCCTTGAAGACCACGGAGGCCACCAGACCAACAACCTCTGACCTTTAACCTTCTGGATGGGGTGTGTATGTGTGACTCACTTGGCAAGGGGGAACAATGGGAAAGACAAAATGGCTGCTGCCTGCGGATCGGCAAGATTTGGAAACTGTTTGGACTCTAGGTATTTCCATTGTCTTTTCGCCTGGGAACGTTAATGTCTATGGATATTGGCCTGTCTTAGGCTGCCTAGACCTCAGGAGAGATCCACCCACTTCCTTCCAGAACCCAGGGAGCTGAAGCTTTACCGCACCCTCTAGCCCATTCAAGGCTCACCTCTTCTATTTCACACACTTATCTACCCAGAAGGGAAAACGATGTCAAAGCTTCTAGTGAGCTACGGGTATGAGTAATGGCTTAATTTTCCAGTACTCAATGTACTGTCTTCAGAATGAGAATCATCTGTGGAAAAATAGGTTGTTTAGTTGGGCTCATGGGGTGGAAAACCCACCTCCCTAGGGATAACCCTACAAGCAAATAGCTCATCGTACCTGGTGACTATGGTGACTAAGGAACAGCACGGGTAGCCCACTGGGCCTTGGAACCCCGAAGCCCTCGGGAGAACACACACGATCTCCCCATAGCTACCCATAGCTACCCAGAGCTGGTTACCGGGGAAGCAGCTCCCGTCGGGGGTCATCAGATTTTTAGTTAGGCTCAGCAAAACCACAGCTGCTCCAGCTTTGAACAAGATATCATTAAATCAGCGGGTTCGTTTGTAGACATGGAGGGTGCAGCCCTTGGCTGAGGTCTGCTGCTCCCAGCTTAGGTCCTGTTTTGGAGCCAGTAGGCTCTGAGGACCTAACAAACAGCCGGAACTCTACAGCCCAGACTGTTTGTGCCCTCTGCTGGCAGAGACCCAGAGTGCACCCACCCTATCTGACCCACTCAGATACAAAACCTTGACTTCTGTTTAAGTAATAAAAATTTTATTGAGAATTTCTGGGATGGTGGTTATCTCCCCCATTCTGGGGGAGGGGCAACAATGTAGGAAATCACTGAGAAATCACACTGTCTCCCCCCACCCCATCTCCCAGGTCAATATAGGGAGGAGGAAAACCCTCTGAAAGGGTTGGTCTTCAGTCTTCCTTAATCCAAGAGGGCAAGTACAGAGGAACCAAATCCATCACATGATGCTTGGGTCAGGGTGGGGTGTGCTTGACCTCACTAGCTGGCTCCTCAAAACTGGATGAGAAATGCATCTACTCTCTCCGTTGGTGGAGTTCTTGATGGCCACAACTCATTTCTTGGCCTTAATGAGGCTGTCACTGTAGAACAAAGGGAAAACATTTCTGATGTGTGAATGCAGAACGTGCCAAACTATCCCCTCTTCCCAAATGAAGGTCTCAGTGTGGGGAGGGGAGGTAATAGAGGCAGGTCCAGGGAGCAGGTGGCCCCCCCAGGATCCCACAACATGGATGCAGCCACTTACCTTCCCCTACAGCAAGCAGCATGGCACGGCGTGAACAAGAAACAGAAAACAGACATAGGATTAGTCAGTTCAGTTCAGCCCCAGCTGCTCTAGCCCCTTGTGTCTCCCCTTCCTCCCATGACAACCGCTCTTTTGGCCGGATTTCTGCAGGATCCCAACATCCCAACTCACATTACCAGCGGAGCAGCATTCAGGTTCTTAGGCAAGAATGTGGAATACTGTCATCACTTTCCACTTAACTATTTATAAATAACGTGCCTTCTACACAAGACATCCTATTTTGTTTCACAAAGTCAGTTCTAGAGGATGTCACTTAACACAGGACTCCCAAGCAGCACCTACTTTTCTGACTGGTGTTCAGAGAAACTGTCAAGGGCCCCGTGACTTCTGAATGGACTCTAGAGCCCACGGGACCAGATGCAGGCGCTCTGCTCTGCACAGTGGCAGCTTACCGAGTAAAGCTTTCATCTTGTAGATTCAGGACAAGGTTGTCAGCTGTGAGATAGATGCGGTTCTGGGATGTGGCAATCTACAGAAGGAATGGATGCCTGTGTTAGCAGAGGCCTCCAGTCTGGTCCCTGTGACTCAGTGACCGGCCCAGCGGAGTACAGTAATGGAGGCTCCTGGTCTAGCACAAAGATCCAAGCATCGAGAACACCCTTGGTGTTACACTTCATAATAGCCAGAAACACAAAACCTCTAGGGAGTTACTCTGGGGGAGGAAAGGTGCCCAAGGAAACTGTTCAAGCTAAGACTCAAGTAAGGTTCTAATGCCATTGTGTGGCTGTGTAACTGAATGCTTTCCCTCTCAATGGGCAGCCCTGAGAGCGAGGCCTTTCTCTTACCGTCTTAGAGATGTTCTGGGCAGCCCGGATCTTTCGGAGCTTGATATAGCCGGGATTCTTGCTCAGTGCTTCTCCAAGGTAAGCAGATAGAGTTAAGGGTTCATCTAGGCCAGGGCTACATCTGCCAACAGTGCCCATCCCACCCCCGAAGAGTCCTCTGGGCTGTCAGATTCAAGGTTGCGCTCACATGGCTACTCACACTCTGGCCACTTGCTGTGGGCCCTCCCTGTAGGATGCTGCCAAAAACTGGTGGCAGCGGACATGAGGGCAAGGCCAGAAATGCTCTCGATCTGGCCTTACAGTGGGGGTCAGGCCTCAGTTACCCCCACCAAGATTTCAGATCTCACCAGTCACCCCGCCCCCCCCCCCAGAAGCCAAGGGTCAGTAGGCAGTCGCATTCGCCTTAGTTTCATCAGCCGGCCCATTGGGGAGGATGGGGAGTGGGCGTCCAAGGGACCAGGCCAAGTCCTCTGCACCGGAAGGATATCATCTTGGCAGCCTCAGCCTCCCCCTCAGCCTGCACGATCTTCTGTCGTTGTTCCTGCTTTGCTTTTTCCACCAAAAACTGGGCCCGCTGGGCTTCTTGCTGGGCTGTGGTGGGAAGTGAATGTTGTTATGGCGGTGGGTTGGTAAGAATCCAACCCCACGGGGCTCCTCCGCCCACCGATCTACTCCTGCGGGGACTTACCCACTTGCTTGGCTTCTACAGCTGCTGTGTACTCTCGGCTGAAGCTCAGCTCTGTGATAGCTACATCGTCCAGGATGAGGCTGAAGTCCTTGGCGCGCTCTGTCAGCTCTCTTCGGATCAATAGGGACACCTGGGAGCAAGGGTGGAGAGGGGAAGGGAGGGGCGGCTTGAGGGGATCAGAGAACTGAAAGGAAGGTAGTATCGCTGTAACCATCCGAATCCCGGAGCTCCTGAGTACGGGCAGCCAACCCACCACTTAAGTCCTCAAGCATTTGCTAGAAAAAACCCTGTTCGGTGTCTTCATGTGACAGACGAGGCAGCACCGGGAAGGTGGCATGACTGCCCTATGTCACACTGACCCCTAATCTTCCCTTTAGCCCACGTAAATGTCTATACATATCTGCCTAGCTTCCTGACAAGCAAGGAAAGGGCTCCTCTAGAGATGTGGGTAAGACTACATCGCCATTGTGTTCGTCTATGCTTCCTACTTAACCCTGACTGGTATCAGGTTCTACAGTTGTTTCTCCTCCTTTCCCAGAGTGACAATCAGCACAGCTTTCCCACGTCAAACTGGCCATGCAGCCAGGGATAACGCTAAACATCTGACACTCTTGCTGCTACTTCCTTAGTGCTAGGATAACAGGCATGTCCCACACCTGGTTTAAATGCTTGGGATTAAATCCAGGGCTTGTGCCTGTTAGGCAAGCACTTACTAACTGAACTATAGTGCCCTCCATCCTTCTATTATATAAAACGCCCCCCCCCCAGTACCCTGCACCAAGGCGAGATATGCCACTGCCATGCAGAGTGATAGGAATCAGACCTGAGCCCGCTGGGTAATCAGCTGCGAGGCATTGAACTTGGCCACCACGCTCTTGAGCACCTCGTTGACGATGGACGGCAGCACTCGCTCCTCATAGTCCAGCCCTAGGCGCTGGTACATGCTGGGGAGCTCTTGGGCATTGGGCCGAGACAGCACACGCAGGGAAATGTTCACCATCTGCAGGTCTGAGGGTGAGGCCAGTAGTGACCGGTTAAGGCCACGTTCCCCTTCTCCAAGCATTTTCTCCCATGCTTCCCACCATGCCGAGCCTAACACTCCTCTGACGATATGTCAACAAGGAAGAGGCAACAACTCAGGTGAAAAAGATCCTTGTTTGCTAGGAAGCCTTCTCCACAGGCCTTCTATTAGTACAGGTGACTTCTATTTTTCTTTTTCTTTTTTTGCTACTAGCCTTGGTGCAACCTCCAGTGTGGGCACCACCACAACTGTGGGTCTCCCGAGACCCTAAGGACTCGAGAACCAGAATTATCGGTTTTTACTTCCAAGGCTTAGCGAATGAATAAACAGCACAGAGAAAGAAAGCACACTACTGTGTGCTACTTGCCTCCGTGTGTACATGTGAATGAGGCAGAGGCAGGGCTTCTAAGTATGGTCTAGAAGGAAACAGCTAGTGAAGAGCTGGGCAGTCTCTCCAGAGCAAGGTATACTTCAGAAGTAATCAACAAGTCAACAGAAAAGGGCCTTGAAAAAGGCTTGGATCTAGGGAAGACCGTGAAGAAAGGCAACTCTTGATTCAGTTTATGCTAGGCAGACAGTAACGTTAAAACGTGCAAGCTCATCGAGTGCTGGAATGTACGTGTTAAGCCACGAGGCATGCTCTTTTGAAGATGTAGAAACCAAGGCCTCTGGTGGCCTCATCAGGCTCATTTTATGTTTACTTGTATCCCCACCTGCACGCAGCTCCCAAATGCCCACACTCACCTTTGGAACCTGTGGGGGAGGAGATTTTTCGGGGTCTGGCCCGAATGTCATAGATGATGGGGTACTGGAACCAGGGGATCCTGGAGAGGAGAGGTCAGGGACAGGGATTGGGAAGCTGTAGTTTTCACTGCTTTTGACCAGTTTCCCCTCACCACTCGTCTTTGGGCCTGCTCCTCCCCATGACCAGACAAGGAGATTTCTCTTTTCCCTTTGGAGAACAGCCCTTTATGCACTGCTGGAGTTTCGGAGCACCTATCGTCCTAGGAGCGGGGCTGAGGAAGGGAAAAAGCAGCACCGAATCCTGTTGTAAGTCTCGCTACAGCCGTCAAGGGTGAAGGGTCAGGGCCCGTGCGTTCTGCCCGCCATTACCTAAAGTGAAGGCCTTCGGCCAGGATTGTGTCCTGTTGCACGCCGCCGATCCGGTTAAAGAAGATGGCTCGGTGACCACCTTCCACTGTGGAGAGAGGGAGGGGTGGGAGTCAGGGCAAGCTGCTGCTGATCAGAGTACCGGTCGGGGATGAGGGAGAAGGCAGGCGCGCACTCTTGGGGAGCAGGCCAGTGGGGTGCGGACCCCAAGTCCAGCCAGCGGGAGGAGGTCGCTCACCGGTGAACACGGACTCGCGGACGCCATAGGCCACGGCCCCGGCCCCCAGCAGCAGCTTCAACGCCGTGCCCATGCCCCGAGGTCCGGCGGGCAGGCGTCCCGCTAAGTCCTTTAAGTTCTGGGCCATGTCTGATCCTCCGGAAAGTGGCGGCACCTGCGGTCAGGAGGTGGTGGCCGCCAGCTTCTAGCCCACTCCAGTTTACAGACCTCGCCCTGTACACGAGGATTGGGGGCCGCGGTGCTCGCGGCAGAAAGGGCACCGGAAGTGCGCTTCCTTCTGAACCCGCCCCCTTTGCCTAGGCGGACCCGAACGTCGCGCACAGTAAAAGCGCGTCCGGAAGTCCCGCCTCTTTTGGAGGCGTGTCCTCCTAGAGAGGCTTCGGTAGTTCAGGACGACGGCTGTCGCCATTTCCAAGCGCCCTCTTTCAAAATGGCAGCTGGAAGGAAGTTTGCCGTGAGGAGGAGCGCGAGGGTCTAACCTAAGGACGTCAGCGCAATTTCCGGTCTGCTAACAAGATGGCTGCGCCCAGTGGCGGTTTCCAACCTCGTGAACGGCGTTTTGCAGTGCAGGAGCAGGACTGGGATAATGCGCCGCCTAAGAGGCCCCGGCTTGGGGCAGGAAGTAAGAGCGCAGGCCGAAGGCTCATTGTGGTGCTGGAAGGGGCCAGCCTGGAGACAGTCAAGGTAGTTTGGAACAGAGTGTGGAAGTAGTAAATTGATTGGTTAGATTCTGTGGGGACCGGGGACACAGGATGGATGGAAAAAAACTGAGCAGTGACATTTGCTTTTGAAGGATGACCTGGTTTTTCAGGCTGTTGAGATCCTCGGTTGAAAATATTTTTATTTGCTCTTCTTGACTCTCCTTCCAGCCCTCGTTTATCAGGGAGGCTGTGATAGAAAATGTAAAGTGAGGGAGGGATTATCGTCCACATCCTATACTTCCCCAGCCTTTTATCTAAGGATTTGACATTTTATTTTGTTAAAAGGATTTCTACTATCAGCTTGTTCTGTATTTCGGCTTAATTGAAACATGTCTGGGTCACTTAACTTAATAAGCCTTCGTCTTTACTTTTTACAACCTATCATTCATTCCCCTGAGTAGTAAAATGAACAGTGCCTTGTCTTAACCCTTGTGAAATGTTTCCACACACACCCTTTAAAGATTTACTTTACTTGTACTTAACGTGTGCAGGTCTACATTTTGCTGCGAGCCATCTCATGTCAGCGCTGCGAACTCAATTTGGGTCCTCTGCAAGATAACTCGTTCTTAACAGCCCCCACCCCAATCTCTCCAGCCCCTTCATTCTGTCTTTCTTGTGTCTTACTTTTCAGAGCTAAACTTGTTCAGTGTGTAGGCCCAGAATTTATACACATACAAAAACACACACACCTCAGTTGGTTTTGAGTCAGGGTCTTGATGTGGAGTCTAGGTTGGCCTGGAACTCTATTCTTAGCCTCCTAAATATTAGGATTATTTATAGGTGAGTGTCACCATTGCAGATCTGACCTGTATTTTAATTTTGGTCCTTAACCTCTATTTAGTGATTATAAGAAAACAAGCTTGCCATCGCTTTGTAAAGTGTTGTGTACTAAATCACACAGGAACTCTATTGGCAGTCCTTTAAAAGTAGTGTTTCCTAATAACCCCAGGTGAGAATTTTTTCCATCTGTTTTTCATTTGCACTTTATTAAACTTGCAGTGAGAAAACCTGTTTTGTTTGTTTTTCAAGATTGGGTTTCTCTGTGTACAGAGACTTACTTGGAGCTAGCTTTGTAGACCAGGCTGACATTGAGATCACTGAGATCTGCTTGCTTCTGCCTCTCAAGAGCTGGGATTAAAGGTGTACACCGTCACACCTGGCTGAAAATCTAAACCTTTTTCATTAAACGACCAATTAGATTTTTAAATTTTCTTCAGAAATTGCTATTTCTAGCCTAATGACAGGCATTTCTGTGTTCCTGCCTAAGTAATTGCCTGTCATCATCATCATCATTTTTTAAAATTTAGTTTTTATGTGCATTGGTGTTTTGCCTGCATGTGAGGATGCCACATCCCCTGGAGCTGGAGTTACAGGCAGTTGTAAGCTGCCATGTGGGTACTGAGATTGAACCCAGGTCCTCTGGAAGAACAGCCAGTGCTCTTTAACTGCTGAGTCATCTCTCCCACCCTTATTAGTATTATAGACAGGGTCTCACTATGTGGCTCTGACTGGCCTGGAACTCACAGAGATTTCCCCTCTGCCTTCTGGTTGCTGGGATTAAAGTCGTACACCACTATAGCTGCCTGCTTATCAGTGTTAATTTTAGGCTAGCAATCCCATAATAATAGTAATTTGCTAATGTGGAAACCTTCAGTGTTAATATAGATACAGCAATTGCCTGGGTTCTAGTCCATCTGTATAACAGTTTTGTGATGTCAGTAGGCAATTGTAAAGGTTGGAAGAAGTAAAGGGGTTTGTTTAGGTTAGTGTCAGGTCATTGAAATAAATTACTTCAGGCTACTTATGAGAAGTCAAAATGCCTTTAATCCCGGCACTCAGGAGGCAGAGGCAGGCAGATCTCTGTGTGTTCGAGGCCAGCCTGGTCTAGAGTGAGTTCCAGGACAGGCTCCAAAGCAATACAGAGAAACCCTGTCTCCAAAAACAAAGAACAAACAAACAAACAAACAAATTGCCTGGAGCTAGGCTGGAGAGGTAGGTCAGTGGTTAGGAGCACTTGGTCTTACAGAGGACCTAAGTTTGGTTCCCAGCACCCACACTGTGGCTTCTAGTTGTCTTAACTCCAGGTCTAGAGGATCCAATGACCTCTTTTGGCCTCCACAGTCACTGCACCTATGTGATGTAAACATACATGCAGGCAAGCAGGTAAAACACCCATATACATAAAATGGACAAACATATAGCTGGGCATGGTGATACATGCCTGTAATCCCAGTACTTGGGAAGCAGAGGCAGATGGATCTCTGTGAGTTCCAGGACAGCTAGGTCTGCATAGTGATTTCTACTAAAGTATATTCTACAAGAATTTCAGGCCAGGTTATCATCAGTATTTCAAAGGTGATAGATAGCTGGTTGAGATTTTCTGCAAACTCATGTATCACTACTACTACTTCATTATTCTGAGACAGGGTCTGCTTGTCTAACTTAGACTGGTGTAGAACTTGCCATCCTTCTGCCTTTGCCTTAGCCTCCTGAGTGCTAGAATTGTAAGCCAGGGGCACCATGTCCATCTAATTATTGAGTATCAGTTGCTGTTCTATTTTACTTTGAGACAGGGTCTAACCCTATACCTCCTGCTGGCCTGGCACTTGATGACCTCTTGAATGCTGGGATTACAGATGTGAGCTCCCACATTCAGTTTGTGATGCTGCTTCCTCTTATTAGTGGTTAGACTGAGGAACTGCTCCATCATGGGTTGGGGAGATGGCTTAGCTAGTAGAATGCTTGCCAACCCCAGCACCTATGTAAAAAAGCCCAGTCCATGCCAGGCATGCTAGTGAATGCCTTTAGTCCCAGCACTTTCAGACAGACAGGGAAGCAGATCTCTGGAGCTTGAGGACAGCTTAGCCTACAAAGCAAGTTCCAGGCCAGCCAAGACTACATAGAGAGACCCTACCTCAAAAACTAAAAAAGATAAACCATAAATAAAGAAAAGAAAAAAAAAAAAAAAACAGCTTAATTTGTAATTCCAGCATTGGAGAGACAGGGCTCGATGGCCTGACAGCCTAGCTGAATTGGTGAGCTCAGGTTCAGTAAGGAACTCTGTCTCAGAAGAGCGACAGAGGGGAGATAACCAGACATTAACCTCTCCACTTCACGCGTGCACATATCCTACCTACACACACACACACACACACACACACACACACACACGTATGTGCAGGCCAAACACGTGTACATGTAAAATTAAGTGAATCTTAAAACAAAACCTTTAGTTTTATCATACTAATGGACTGAAATTGGATCATACAGAAGGTTCATTAAGGATGTCCTTAGTTTTTGATCACTTGTTCTATTCTGATTTGTTTTGTTTTTCCAGACAAAGTTTCTCTGTGGCTTTGGAGGCTGTTATAGACCAGGCTGGTCTCGAACTCACAGAGATCTGCCTGCCTGTGCCTCCCGAGTGCTAGGATTAAAGGCTGCAGCACCACCTCCTTGCTCTGACATTCTTTTTAAGGTTTTTATTTATGTGTATGCCTGCAGTTTATGTGTACTATATGTACTACTGGAGCAGGATTGTGAGCCATGTGGGGTGGGTACTGGGAACCAAACCAGGTACTCTGCAAGAGCAAGTACAGTAGGTGCTCTTAACCACTAAGCCCCTATTTTTTTTTTTTTTTTTTTTTTAAATATTCAGTGGCACTGCAGAAATGGATGGCTCAGCAGTTAAGAGAACCTGGAAATCCAGGTTCAGTTCCCGGTACCCATATGGTGGCTCACATATTAACTCTAGTTCCAGGCAATCCAGAGACCTTTTGGCTTTCACTGTATACACATGGTGCACAGACATAGTAAGCACACATGTAACTGTGTGTGTGGAGATGGAGTTATAGCCCGCTGACATGGGCTAGGAAATCAAATATGGGTCCTTTGTAAGAGTAATATCTCTTAACCACTGACTCATCTCATACTATTTGGTTAATCTCAAAACTTAAAATCCCCCAAATATTTTCAAATGTATTATTACTTTGTCTCTAGACATAATAAAAAGGTCTAGTGATACACAGCCTTTCACTGTTTTCAAAAAATTTCCCAGCATGTGTGTGTTCACTCACTGACAACCTGAGGGGGTAGGTTCTCCTACCATGTGGGTTATGGGAGTGATCTCAGGTTAGGCTTGACAGCAACCCATCTCAAAGGCCATGCTTATAGACTTCTTTTTGCATGGGATGTGTATGTGTACTTGGACATGTGTGGAGGTCAAAGAACAACTCCTTGTACCATGTGAGTCACAGGAATTGAACCCAGATCTTCTGGCTTGGTGGCAAGTACCCATGTCTGCTGTGTTCTCTCTCCAGCCATGTTTAGACTAGATCTTACTGACCGTCCTAATGTCCCTTGAGATTTGAAATTGCAAGTGACAGTTATTTCAGAATCTAGCCCTGAGTAGCCCTCACTTGCGTAAACTTGTCAGGAGACTTCTCAGGTGTCATGTTCTCCTGACACTGGAGTTTTTGGCTCTTTGCTTGAGAGGATTCTTGGGTTACAAGGCAATTTCATGTATAATCCCAGTCCTCCAGTACCTTCCCATTTCTTGTCCAACCTTTTTCTGTGTTCTTATTTTGTAGTGCTGGGGAGGAAATCAGGCCCCTGCTGAGCCCTGAGCTACAGTCCACCTGCCTTTTCTCAATGGTTTGTTTGAGGCAGGATCTTGCTGTATCCCAAGCTGGCATTTTCCTCAGCACATACATACTGCTCTTGGGATGAGTCTTGTCTGGTTCTAGGACTTCTGTGACCTTGCCTGATAGCCACAGGCATTTAAAACTCATGTGGTATGAAGTGTGCCCCTCCTTTTTGGCTATAAGGTAGTTGGTTCTGTGTCTGTCTCTAACAGATAAAGCTAAATGTGGCCATATGGTAATCCCCTGAGAAGCTTTCTGGCCCTTTCTTAGTGTTTCTGGCATAGGTCTAGAGTGGGCTTGAATTTGTCATGATGCTGATTGTTCAGGGACCACACTTTGAGAACTACAGGGCTTGATAATAGGATTTCCGTTGCTCTTGTCATGTTCTCTGTTCTTCAGGTAGGCAAAACTTATGAACTACTCAACTGTGACAAGCACAAGTCCATGTTGTTAAAGAATGGACGGGACCCAGGGGAAGTCAGACCAGACATCACCCACCAGGTAACTGTGGGGTAGAGCCTCTGAGCTGTCTACAGGAGGCAGCAAGTGCTTCTTTTTCAAGCTTCCCTGTGCTTGCTGTCTCCCTCAGAGCTTACTGATGCTGATGGACAGCCCCCTGAACCGAGCTGGCTTGCTACAGGTTTATATCCATACACAGAAGAATGTGCTGATTGAAGTGAACCCTCAGACTCGAATTCCTAGGACTTTTGACCGCTTTTGTGGCCTCATGGGTGAGAAGCCTTAGGACTTAAGTTCTGAATGGAGAGGAAATGGGTGTGTGTGTGTGTGGGGGTGTCACATACTCAGTCCTTCAGCTGTGGCAAGCTGCTGCCAGGATAGACCCCTGGGATTTTTCCACATCCATGGAAATTCAGCTCTGTTGTTATCTTAAGCTTCTGTGTGAGGAATAAAGCCATCTGAGCTTGCCTGACAAGCCTGACATTATTTGTACAGTGTAGATGTAAAGGACACACAGCCTAGTTTTTCCAGGGGGCTCTGGGCAGATGAATATGGTTTCTTCCCAGTCCTTAACTCTTGTTTTTCCCCTTCCTAGTTCAGCTTTTACACAAACTCAGTGTCCGAGCAGCTGATGGCCCTCAGAAGCTTCTGAAGGTGAGGTGGGGAAACCTATTGGTAGGCTCTGGGGCTGTTCTGGGGCTGACTTTGTTCTCTCTTTAGGTGATTAAGAATCCGGTGTCCGACCACTTCCCAGTTGGCTGTATGAAAATTGGCACTTCCTTTGCCATGGCAGATGTCAGTGACGTGCGAGACCTGGTGCCCAGCAGTGACCCAATTGTTTTCGTGGTTGGGGCCTTTGCCCACGGCAAGGTACAGTCTGGGCTCAGTTCTTAGGTTCTTCATGGAGCTGAAGCTCAGTGCAGGGTACCATGAGCAGTTAGCATGTTAAAAGTACAGGGTGTGAACAGAGCTGGGAAACAAGTGGCAGTTGAGTTCCTGTCCCAGCCTGTGCTCTTCAACGACTCTGGCATGTCTCTAGAGACAGAGCTAAAATCCCCGGTGTCTGCACAAGTTTGGTATTGAATGGCACTGCTGGGAGACGTTAGCTCACCTGCGAGCTTGCTGCAGGTAAGAGTTGCCTGATCAGCTCTCCTTCTCTTGTCAGGTCAGTGTGGAGTATACAGAGAAGATGGTGTCCATCAGCAACTATCCACTCTCTGCTGCCCTGACCTGTGCCAAACTTACCACAGCCTTTGAAGAAGTGTGGGGCATTGTGTGAGAGCGGCAGAGCCTAGCTCTCAGACAGGACTCTTGGCTTTTGCTCTATTGACTCCTACGATGTCTGCTGGAAGATAATCTTCTGTACCGAGATGGTAGAGTGGGAGCCAACACTATTTAATTTTCTGTTTTTCCTATAAAGACTGTGCTTTTCTTTTTTGCAAACCTGATTGTTTCGAGGCTTTTTAAACTTAGCAGTACATGGTAGTGTAAACTGTCCCCTTGGGTTCTGGTGTTCTGGACTTTGAAGATAGGCGTGAGTTGTGCCTTCAAGGAGAGACCTTGATGAGCTCAGCTTCGGCAAGCACAGAGAACACATATGAAAGAAAGCAGTCAGGGATGCTAGCAGTGAAAAACTGAACAAACAGAAGTGATTTTTATCTGGTATAGTTCCAAGATAGAAAAAGTGGAGCAGGCAGGGCCTTGTACCCTTCCCTCCCCCCATGGGGGGGTGGCGGTATCGGCACGATACAATCGTAGTAGATTGGCAGAAGAGAAACACAACAAGTTCCTGGCTAGAGGGAAGAGATAAGGCAACGTGCATGGGGGAGTCCAAAGGGGGTGCAGCCCCTCTGCTCCTCCCACAAGAGCTTCCCCTTTGGCCCGGTGAAGACTTGGCTGTAGCAGAGGCACCGTGGGGAGTGTGACTTCCAGCTCCCGGCATCTGCTCTGGGGTGAGGAGTGCTGTGAGAAGGGGACAAGTAGTCTCTGCACCAGTCCAGCTCGCGGTCACCTAAGGGCAAGATAATAGTTTAGAAGGCTGGCCAGAACGGCGCCCTGTCCCTTCTTAACAAGTAGTGTCCCACAGAGCATTCCCTAGTGGGCAAGCTATGTTGATTCACCCAAATCTCCAGTGTCATACCCTGCCCCCTTGCCCATCATCTGAGGACTATTTACTTACCAGGGAAATGTATTATTCCCTTTTTTTTAACTTTTCTTTTCTTGGCACCATTGCTTTGTGAATATAAGGCAATATGAATAGTAGGCTCAAGAAGAAGACATGTCCAAGGAAGTAGATGGATCTGTACACCTGCAGAGACAGAGACGTGGGAATGTGGTGAGACAGTTGTCTCTTACTACTGGAGGTTTTGGTGACCCTGGCAGCCCTGCAGTCAGGTCTTCATACCTTAAGCCATTTGTCCCATGTGAAGAGACAGAAGGCAGTCATGGAATAACCCATGAAAAGCCAGTGGATGGTCTGTTGCACCAAGTAGTAGAAGGGTTGCAGGGCAGTGATGGAGGCCAGGCTGCTCAGGGTGGGGCTCTCCTGAATTAGGCTGGTGGCCTGGGGAGGGAGGAGAGAGGTCATCAGTCTTGTCCTTATCCCCAACCCATTTCCTACCACCCTTGAGACATACATACCTGCTTTTCCACAATAACAATGAGGAATTCCATCTGGAAGCAAATCAGGTATCCTGAGTGTAGGCCGTGCCAGAGGGCCAAGAACAGTAAGGAGAGGCCTTGTGAGAGTTCTTTATTTCCAAGAAACTTGAGGCGTTTGAAGATGTAACTAGAGAAGAGGGTGGGTAAAGATGAACCTCAGACTTGGACTCCTGCTCTAGGTTCCTGAGTGGAGTGCTGACGGGCTCCCACTTGTGGCCACTGAGGGTATGGGAAACGGTGCTAACAGGAAAGCTGTCATAGTTCAGGTACAACAGAGATTCCAGGCTTAGATGAGTAAATAGGGACAAGCCACCTGCTTTAGCAGGTAGAACCGAGGACCTACTGAGTGCCTGACACCAAAGGTGTAGTGGTGCAAGGCTATGCCAACGATGGGCATCACTATGATACTATATGAACAGCACTACAAGGGAGGGCATAAACAATGGCAAGACCCGGATTTGCAGCCAAGGCTTGAGGAATTTTTTCTTTTTTGGGGGGTGGGGTGGGGAGGGAGTTGCCTCAGTGAGAATAAGCTTAGCAGGGAGGAAGGAGTCTGGGCCCAGTCCCCCCAATGCTTACCGTGCTACCCAGGCATTGGTATTGATGTTGAAAGAGGCGATGGTGCCGGTGAATCGAGGAGTTGTTTCAAAGAGCCATACTTTCATGTTGGCACAGGCATCCCACTTTGCATTCCCATTTTCTTCAAAGCCATTAAAGCCCAGCCCTGACAAAATGCACACTCCTTCCTGAGGGGAAAGGCAGCTTTGGGTCTTGTCACTGTCCTCTCAGTCCCCCACCCCCAGCTTGTCTAAATATGACTTATCGTTCCTACTTACTGTGACCAGCCAACAGGTGACGTATTTGTACAGCACGAACTTGCCCCAGACCAGCATGTACATGCAGCGGAACCAGAAAGGGCGGTGCTTGAGAAGAGAGCACATGAGCATTAAGGATGGGACTGTCCCCCAAACTTCACTCCTACCAGTTCCTGATGGCACGTGTGCCATGCAACGTGTGCCTACCTGTCTATACCCAGCCAGGAGGCACCAACATCCACCTGCCCTCTACTCACAGCAGGCATTTATACTGCCTGTACAGATGGACCTAGTCTATATATCCACAGCTGGTGTTCATTTTCAGAGTCAGCTACCCAGAATGGATATGGAGCCGCTGTGAGCTTTTCAGGGAGACTGGAGCAATCACTCCCCCCTCCCCCCAAATCCCCGAGCACAAACTCTTCAGACAAGTCCATAGGTCTGTCAGCTAAAAATAAAACACTAGGCTACAGAGCCACCAGTAAGAAGTCACCTGGCATAAAGCAAGGCAAAGGCTGTGCTAAAGTACCCCTGGCGCTGCCCTGGACCTACGAAGGTTTGTCCCTGCTGCTGAAGGCCTGGGCACTCATCTGTAGATGGCGTGGCCTACTTGTCTACCTGCAGGGCCCTCTCTGCTTCTTTCTCCCTTTCTGTGAGGCAGGAGTCACACTGGGAAGCCGGCCACTCACATCATAGTCTTGGGTGAGAAGATAGTCTTCTGTGATGTGGGGGCTCAGCAGGGTGTAGCCCACCAGGTACACAAGGCCCAGACTCAGGCGCTTGAGAGCAGCTATGGTGCTGGAAAGAAGAAGTGGGTCACAGACAGCAGAGCCTCACCCTTCACCCTCTGACCTGCAGTCACGGAAAGGAGCGTTTCAGGGCGTGGCAGCACAGGCAGTGGCACCAGGGTCCCTGTGCCCAAAGCTGTTTCCAGAAAGCTCTGTGTGCTTGGCTACTTGCGAACCTGAGTTGCAGGAGTGAGGGCAGGAGGGCCAGTGTGGGGGCTTGTGTTTAGCCTTCAGGGCACTGGGCTTCTCAGTGCTTAAGGCTAAAAAAGCCATGTACAGAACAGCTAGCAATTTCAACTCCTCTAAACTCAGTTCACTGAAGGAATTCTAGTGGCTTTTTTGCAATATCTTTGATTAAGTATACATCTTGTATATTGAACAGGGTCTCCCTATGTAAGAGGGGGCTTTAAAGGGAGGGGCAAAACTGGTGGGCAAAACCCTGAGGCATTTAAATTGGTACTTGAGGGTCAGCAAGAATGGCTGGGGCAGTCTAAGCTGAGGAGTGTGGAGACATTGCTCACGTGACACTTCGCGATGGGGCCAATGTGCTAGCTGGCCTTTAAGAAATGAAGTCACTTCAGAAGTGACTGTGTGGGTGCCATATCCACACGGAGAGGACCTGAGCAGGAGGGGAATTACCTGTCTGGTATGTTCCCTGGCACGTCAGTCAACTGTCCCTGCACCAGCTTCATGTAGTGGTTCATTGAGAACTGCGGTCCTACCAAGAAGGCGCCATAGAAGTAGGAGAAGCCAGCAACTTCCAGCAGGGAAGGGACACCCCGAATGGCATATTTCTGTTGCTCAGAGGTCAGGGAATCCTATGCCAATAAGAGAATGCACGGTTCAGGACTGCCTTGAATCTTACCAAGAGCCACCCTGAGCATTCCCAACCTGTGCCCTACTGCCTGGGGCAGCAGTAGGTGTCTCTTGTGGGGCGAGGGTGGGGAAATGTTTCTTTATGTGCAAATGTGTGGGGTAGCTTAGCTAATGGCTGCCTGTGGTTGCTGTGACAAATGCCTTGCTGGCCTTGATCTTTGAACTTGTGCAAAAGCTGGATTCTGGACAAGTTACCCTGGTTGCTCCTTGCCCGGTTGCTATCTGAAAGATAGCTCACAGGTGAGGGAGTGAGGCAGAGGCGCCACCCTGGTGGCAGGTCCAGTCTTTGGGAGACAACAGCCTTTCCTAACCTGGTTAATCCTTAGCCTTTCTGCCAGAGTGGATACTTACCCTGTCTTTGCCTCCATCATAGTAGTCAATACACAGACCTGAGCAAAGACAGAAGGGAAGAGGGGAGTAGACATGAGGATGTGGTCTGTGGACAGACTGTAGCCAGCATGGCAGCAACATGAGTAGAGTTTATTTTGGCTCTGTGGGGGAGGGGTCCAGCTGTAAAGGAGGAAGGCAGTACCTTTGCACTTACCGATTAGCTTCAACGTCAGGACACAATGTGGCATTGTCCACTTGATGTCATAGTCACCGGTGGCTGTGTAGTAATACCCAGCAAGAAGGTAGGCCTAGGCGAGGAGAAGCTTTATTTCCTTCCTTCTCTCCCCATGTTTTCTTTCTTTATTCGGTGGTGGTCTTTGACCTCCAGCTCATAGTCCTGTCTTAGCCTTCGAAGCCCATGCCACCATGCCCAACTTCTTAATTTTCTACTTGCTCAGAATTCTCTGTATTCCTTCATTTTCCTTTCTTCTGGTCCCATCATTTAGAACGTTAGGAAGTTCCTATGAGCCTGGCCTGCTGGTGCAGACCTAGAACCCTGGCACTTGAGAGAGACTAAAGCCAGTTTGAGCTAGAGTTTGAATCTGGCCTCGGGTACATAGTGAGACCCACCTCAATAAACGAAACCCACAAATGTTTTTAACTGCAGTGAGGGTCGACTTGCTTAGGGCGACAGATGGACATTACATGCTTCGCTCCTTCAGCTCCTCTAAATTAGTTTTCTGCCTTGCCTTTGAGTGACTGCCCTCATGCTCAGCTGGACTAAACCTGGTGAGAACCAAGGCACCCGATGGCACAGTCCTGAGACCAGGGATGAGTTTCTGCCTGTGATGAGCGACCTGCCCACAGCCAGACTGCTGTGCGTTGGGAGGAGGAATCACAGGCTACATCTCCTAGGTCACCGTGCTACCACCCTGCCTTGCCCCTCCCCACACCTTCTGTCGGATGTGACCTGAGCTGCTACGAGAAAAATTTACCATCTGGAAGCAAAGG